TTTATTATCCTCTGAAGTTTCTTGCAGTAATTAACGTTTTATGCTTGAACGGATCTAATATACCTTTCAACTCCTCAAATCACGGGTACGCCTTTCGGACGGACTGCCTCCGTGTTATAGGGATTACTCCCTGGGCATGAATTCGTATGGAAGGTTATAAACCCCTGTGTTTTTGCGTTCTGCAGCTGGACAACGACAGAAGAGCACTTGCATTAAGATGTATTGTTTTGAATGTCAGTCCATTTAACAAAATAAAAGGACAATTTGTCATTGTCTATTCATTACTTAGACGACAAGTTCACATTTTCTATGAGTCAACAGTAGTTCATGAGCTCTAGGCGCGTTGCGCTGAGTTGACTATTAATTTTGACTCTCTAGCTTAGAAACGCGAAGAAGTAGTCTAATTAAAAATCTAATTGTAGTTTTAGTGGAAGACCAACGGTATACTTTCTTCGATCCCATATCAAGTTTTGATAAAGATTTACCGCGTGGCCACTTTTTTTTTTTTCTGAAATTTCGTGTCGTTAAAAGAATGCTCAGTAAATAAATAATTTTACTTGATTTGGATCCAGGAAATTGTATTTTTTGTTCTTGTCACTATATATTTAAAATGCTCATTCTGTATTTTTGGCACTTTTTAGCTTTTTGTTTCCAGTGATTTTTTTCTGGCCTTTCCACCACTCCAAAAACATCGTCATCATTATTTTGCGGTCTGTTTTGAGCAAAAACAAGAAAACGAAAAAAATATGATAATAAAGGTTATCAAGAAATCATAGCCTTAATCCTCTTTGGAAAAAATCCAAAGATAACCGCCACACATGGAAATGTTGTGGTGTAATGTCACCGCATCGAAAAAAACATCAAACACATTTTCTTTTAATTTCTACTCATGTATGTATACATATATGCAATTACTTTGTGTAGGCATCACAAGGTATCCAAGGGCGGTTTGAGTTACGGAAAAGTAAACAAGAATCGCCAAATAGCCTGTCTTTTCCAGGCGTTCAGATAGTAGAGCGCAGGAGAAAAATTCACGAAGAAAAAAAATGAGGGGAAACAACTTAACTCGCTCCCCGTTAACAGCCGCGCTCTACTATCTGAACGTCTGGATGGAACAGGCTATGTAGGTGAGCCATAATCGGGGTGGGAGACCGTACGTCAACTAGATATCTTCTCCAGTAATAAGAAATAAAGCATCAAGAAGTCCAACTTCCCAGTTGAAACAACGCGTATTGAACGTTTCAAACAATATTTTGACTGGCCAGACCAGCCTTTCAGGTTTATAGATGTTACCAGTAACGTTTACTTTGAAAAAAATGAAATGACCCCCTAGTTTCGTTTTACAGCAAAAGGGATGTTGAAAACGATATAGAAATAAGGATGATGTTGATGTATTTCTTGTATGACGGCACGCACGCATGCATTGTTGGAGAAAAGAAAAGGACTAAAGGAAAAATGTAGGACTTGACTTTTCTATGACCTTTGAAAATTGGTTGAACCTTTGAAAATATAAGCATTATTTTCTGCATTCCGTGTGTGCGTGTTTTTGTATTTTTTTGTTGTTGTTGTTGTCTGTTTATTTTTCCTTTTTTCAGTGTAGTTGGTTTTCCGTTTCATCCTCAGTTTTTTTTTTCCCGATGCTCCATCTTCTTTTTTTGCCTTTTATACTCTTGATTTTGTTACTTATATGTTTGAAACCCCATTTACAGAAATCAGCCTTCCATCCATACGAAACGGTACGTACGTCATGTATCGGACATATATTGAACCAACTTTACTTCACTTCTGCTTGGTTGCTTGTTACTCTGTTACTTTGTCGAAAACAGTGAATTCGCTGGTTGAAAAACCGCTCTTAAGTGTGGTTTATTTTGGGCGCCGTCCAAACGAATCCGGAGAAAAAATTAGGAGTGTTACCCTAACACTTGCACATTTCGTCTTTTTTACACAATAGGGCCATTTATATGAGGAAAAATAAGACGCGAACTTTCCGTATAAACGGCACATTTCGTCTAAAATAAGACGCGGCTTAGCTAAGACGCTTCTTATTAGATAAGACATGCTCGTATAAATGGTACAGTTCGCGTCTTATTTAAGACGCGTCTTATTTTTCCGTGTATAAATGGCCCTAATGTGTTTGCAAGGCAGGTAGTGGTTACCCTAGCGCTTTCAGACACGTGCTTGGCCATTTGCGTGTCTCTCCCCTCGTTTGCTTTCGTCTCGTGTGACTTCTTACCTTTCAGAATAAAAGGGAAAATTATTTGTGAGTTAGTTTCCTGGAAAAGTTGATACAGTAGACACTGGGTAAAACCTTTGAGCTTACCTTCATTGATATTTTTAAGATTGTTTTGTTCATTTAGTCACCTAAAATTTTCCTGGCGGGACTTTTCAGCAAGTCAGGGGAGGAATTCATCCGTACACTTCAACGTTTTAATTTATCTGAAATCTTGCTCTGCCTGTGTCAGGCTTCGAAATTTACATGAATATGGATTAGGTGCTTACAAGCCAATCACTAGTGAAAGCATTACAGTTTTTGCGGGTTTCGGTCCTCGGTGAATCTTCATGCACGCTTTTGAACCGGTGAATTCTCTTACCATTATAAATAGTACAATGTCGCCGGTGCGGCTTTTATTAATCATAGACTGAAAAAAAATTTACCTAAAATACTTAATGATCCGGACCCAAAGCCTTCTTAGGTGAGTGGGATACTTTCGAGCCAGCCTCACTTAGGCTCGACCGTGGGGAAACTGGTTACACTGGTTACAAGTTAAAAATGAGTCTTTTCTTATGTTCAGCCGCAAACACTCCGCACAGCAAAGAACATAGGGGGGAACCTAAGTTCCTTTAAGATTCTTTTTGTTGGATAAAAATTTATACAGACAGGATTCCAATAAATTCTACAAATTACTTGAAACGAGTTTTAATCTAGCACGAAAAAATTGATTCATATTCATTTTTTCGTCCAGTTTCTTTCTCTGAAGGCAATGAAACCTATCAAGATTTTATTTCTTGTGGGGTATTTCCCCTACACTACTCAGCAGTAATCCTTTAGTGACAGTATACGGCAATTATAGAGGGCTACGTGGGCCTCATTTGTCACTTGTGCCGAATACGTCGCAGGATACACAGTGCATAAACCAGTGCAGCGTTTCGCCAGTATGAACTCCCTATAATTTTTTCCGATGGTACTTTCCATTTTGATTTGAGATTCATTGATGGTAATACAGTAAGTGAGATTATATGGAAGCTTTGACATTTTACATGATGACACCACGACCCAGCCATTTCTTTCCTTTCATTGAAAAACATTTTATCTTCAACGTTCTTAAGAACGAACTGCAGGCTAAACGTCAGTGAACTGTGTCGCATTGTTATGTGCGTTGCCCTCAGGAGAAGCCAGTAGAAGTGGAAGATTGCTCATATGCTTACTGTAAATCAAAGGGGGTCTAGCACAGATACCTGGGGGAGTCCAGATATAACGCACGCCTCAAGTTGGGCTCATAGAAATAAACATTTCTTGATATCGATTAATTTTCGTACTTATTAATCCCCGACCTCTATTTATCGCACACAAGGTTCCATTTGAACGACAAACCTTGAAAAATGACGAGGCCTGTTACAGGGAAGCGTAACGCCAGGAAGCCCGGTCAACACACAGCCCAGTCTCTTCACCAGAACTTCAGGTAAAACTTTCAGCAAAATCATGGCATATGATTCGCATGTTGACGAACTATGCAAAAAATTACCCGCATGCTTAGGTCTCCTTATTATTAGGCCGTTTATTCCCTGCCTAAAAGTCAGAGCCATTTGTCCATATGACTTCATAAATATTTAATTTTGAAAGCAACATTTGGGAATATGTTTATACTTGATACAACACAACGGTCATCGCGACCGACAGGTGCGCTTATAATTTCTCGATAAAGCGGACCGACTTGACACTATTTCCCTTCTGATTTACTAATACCTGACTGAAAAGGGATTTTTCTAATACCCAAGCTCAAAACGTAACACTTTTGAGCAATAGTCCAGTTTCGAGTTGGTAGGTACTTTAAGTAGGGTTATTAAAGTGTATTCGAGTTCGCTATGACCGCTGAATAAAAGTGAAGACGCATTTTTTACCGCCTGAGCAACCATCTGAAGTAATATATTCACAAATTCCAACGCGAACACCTCCATTAAGCGGCCATCAAGCGCTTGATACCCTTAGTTTATCTTTATTTCAAGAACATGATGAAGGAAAATACAGTCCAAAGATAGAAGATTACAACCGATTGTTGACAAGAAATGCTTCCTCCGTCACGATTTGTTTCAAAATAAAGTGATGTTGCTGCTAAAGATTATGCTGTACCCCGAGAATGGCCGCTTAATTGAGGTTCGACGGTATCGTTAGGGACCTAACGATAATACGACGGCAACGTTAACGGGAACGTCAAAAAAGCATCAGTTTTAATGAGCACACACGACTTTGCGCGTGCATCACGATTGTTGGTTAATTTTATTGCCGTCCCTTCACAACTACAGACGTGACAAGGTCAAATTTTACGTTCACTTGAGAACGGGAAGCGGACAAGGCAATAAATTCTAACATCTCCGTCTTAATATCGGGCGCAGTCTCTTCTCTTCAGCTCCAACTTAAATTTTCTTCTTTACGTAACTTAGGGATAATCGCCAAAAAGTTTGAAAGGTTGCGAAGTCTGTTTTTTAACGACTTTTTCGTGGACGTCGCCATTGTCGGATCGTTAGGTCCGTATTCAAGTGCTATGAAGCTTTTCCGTAATATAGAGGCGTCCATTTTATAAAAGTGTATTTATGAGGAGAGTTTCCAGTTAAACACTTGAAAGTCGCGATTGCCACTATGAGGAAAATTCACGATATCATCTAAACAAAAAGAAGCAGATTTATCCAGTGAATAGAGTCCTCTGTCCTGTAAACAACAGGATTTTATGTCTTGATTCTTTAGTCCTCTGGCTTTGATACCTGATTACAAAAAGGGGCCAACATCATAAGATAGGTTCCGATCCATTCCAGTCTATGACAGCATTCTTCCACCTGTGCGATAAGTAAAAAAAATACACAAGGGTTTAATAGTTTACCACTATCTTAGGACAAGGACGCTGAATTATCGTATGCCAACTATTGCGTTCTGTGTCATGTTACAAGCTGGTTTTAACAATCCTTGGTCTGTAAACTTATCTACCATAGAAATGACGTCACAATGTTCAAAACTCAAGTGGAACCAGGAGCCGCGGTTTCATTGCAAAGTTTTGAACATTTTTACGTCATTTATATTGTAGACAAGAGTACATACCATAGAAAATTGTTGCCGATTTGTTTCTTACAATAACATTGCCAGTTTTTGGCGTCCATTCACGTTGAGGTTTCTCGGAAAATCGCGCGCGAGAGAAAGAGAAAAACAAATTGCGCCATCATGACGTTATTTCCATGGTATGCACTCTGTTCGAACAAAGCTCTCAACCAATCAGCGCGCGAGAATCCGCTCATGGTGCATAAAATATTTCTAGCTTTTATTCAGCCCGACACATCGACAAATACATCAAACACGCCTGTTTCTGCGTCAGTAGAAGAAATCCTAAAACGACTAAACTTTTCATAACCAAAAAGATTCCAAAAACCACTTTAACGAGCAAGCAATAGGTTTTTGGATAGTAACACCTTAAAAATTTGCCGACAAACTAGGCACCACACGCAAAAACAATACCATCACGACGTGAAAGTACTGCTTAAAAGGTTTCTTTTGAATGATCACGTCGTAGTATTTCGTCCACAGACTCAAACGTAACAGTGCATACTAAATTAAAAGAAACATCTGAAAGTATTGCTAAAGAGGTTTCATTTGAATGGTAACACCATAGCGAGGATTTCATCCACAGACTTAAAAGTTAGAACTACACTCAAGATATGGAAACATGTGAAAGTACGAGTAGGGCTGACGAGGTTTAATTTGAATGACCAGACACATTGACTGACGGTTGAAAATGAGCCTGGAAAAACACCTCTGTGTTAAAGAATGATCCCATTATGGGCCTTTTCAAACTCATGAATAGCCTGCGTAGCAAGCGTTTCCTCGCGAGGTTCGTCAAGAAAACTGGGACAAGAGCAAAAAAAAATGAATGAAATGAACCTTTTTTTTGCTTCCGCTCTAACTTTCGCGCAATAACTCGATTGGAAACGCTTGCTACGCAGGCTAACTCATGAATGACGGGGTACAAAAACGATTTGATGGAGAGCAAGAAACGTACCAGAACGACAAGAAAAACAGACCTTGTATTATTTTATTTGGAAATTTACTTTCTCCTTCTTGTTCAAGTAGGTTTCTTGCCTCCAAGCACGGCGTTTTTGTGCCAAGCGGCCAAATTCAAAACCCTGAATCGAAAGGTCCACTTTTCTGACAATGAACTCTGTTGTCTCACCTTGTTCGTATGCAGTGTTCCAGTGGAGGCACAAGATCAGTGTCCTTGTATTCTGGGCATTCTTTTGTTGTATCTTTATCAAGAGAAAGATGAAATTACTTAAAGGCTCCGTCCACACGTATCCGAATATTTTTGAAACCATTTTTTTCTCCGTTTTATGTCTTCTGCCGTCCACAATTAAACGGCTTTTTCAGGCACCTAAAATGTACGTTTTGTAATACGCTTTCATAGTGTTGATTTTTTTTCTTTTCTTTTTTTTCTTCTTGTTTTTATTTGCAAAACGCCTTTTTATCTTTCTTTCATGAAAAAGGAGGCTTTAGTTGAAATGAGATGATGTCATACATATTACAGGGACGCTATCGTAATTTCATCAACAAAAGACATCTCTGAGATTATATTAACCTGAAATGCGTTTTTCCATATTAATGGTATTTAACCCGTGGAATTAAAATTTCAATTTTCCCTTAGTTTTTGTTAAGTATTTCAATTTTTCCTGACTCAAAATAACTTCCCTGACTTTTTCATGACCTTGAAGTATCTTTTTTCTAGGCCTGTAACAGCTATGTACCCAGGCAAGACCATATAGCTTACACTATGGCAGTTTACAGGAGGTAATGCTTACTCACCAACTGTCAATCTTAACTCCTCATCCTGCCGTGCCAGACCATCATAGTAATAAAGATCAAACTTCTTCTCTAACCTCCTGTGTATGTCAATCAATTAATCGATCGATCAATCAATCAATCAATCAAACAAACAATCAATCGTTAGAGCCTACATCGACTCCTATATTGCAGTTAGATAGCACATTATCCACACATCCAATCCTGCAATCACTATCATAATCTTGAAAAAACAAGATAAACCAAGTCATTCCACGAAAACATGCTCCGATTCCCTTGAGGTCTCCTTCTCCCAGTGTTGGTTTTAAGAGATTGCTTGGACTTTTTTGTATAAACATTGAAGCGGAAGGGGCGAAGAAATCCGCGAGTGCTTCAACAATTATGACTAGGACTTCCGGCCAGCAAGGACCTCTGGCTTCGGATCCGTAGTTCAGGTTTCAAGCCCTGCCATCGCGTTCATTCCTTAACGTTGTCTCTCCTCACTCATGTGTATTAACGGAACCCAGCGACATACTGCTAGCGGTAACCCTGCGATAGCCCACATGCAGAAGTTTCCTTTCCTAGCGGGAGAGATGGCGGGGGAGGAAAGCATTACACCCAGGTTTCTCATACTAAAGAGACTGGGAGAAGCCTCGGTCGTGTGGGCATCATGGCTTGCTAAGCTTAGTATAAGCGTCTAACAAGAGTACTCTTGGTCCAATTTCCCTTGGAGGTGCCCAAAGCTTGGACCACCTACCCCTTCCCTATGTAACAATTTTATCCTTGGTGAGAAATAAAAGTTAACGTCGACTTAGGGGAGGGGTAGGTGGTCAGTAACCGAGAAACCTCGATACCAAAACGTTGCCTCTGAGGTTGCACGCTTTGATCTGATCATTATACGTTTCTGGGAGACTGCCCACCTACCCCTCCCCTAAGCCAACATTTTGCCCTAAGTGAGAAGTAAGTGTTAATGTTGGCTTAGGGGAGGGGTAAGTGGACAGTTTCCCACTCCTTCATACAGTTGGTGTCCGACCATCATAAACTGGTCGCTGATAGACGTAATTTTATAACGCTTCGGTAAAGCACTATAAGTGACCAGGACGTAGCATCCCTTTTACACCATCAGTGTTTTTAACAAAACGGAGGGAATAAAACTCCTCACTACTACATAAATGGCTTTCAGTGACAACATCAAAGAATAGAAGTCTTTAGGAAGAATAAAAACAGGCTGATAAGTTCAAATGCCGTAAATTGGCTAGTATCAATGGCTGTTTTCACACTGGAGACGGATTATCCGTTTGAGACGGATAATCCATCTTGAAAATCCGTCAAAATTGAAGGAAATACAGATGGATGAAGTCAGGTGGATTGTCCATCCAAAACTAAGACGTATTATCTGTCTGACGCGAATTATCCAACGGATAATCCGTCTCTAGTGTAAATACGGCCATTTACCAGTCATTATAAGCTTACCAGTCGTCCAAGAGGTTTCTGTCGATAGAGAAAAAGACACTGAAGTGACTCTCGTTGCATATCACCCAAATAGGATAATTGGGAGTCTTGTAATTCACACCAACCTGTAGCAAATGAAATGATGAATTTTGTCAGTACATCGCAGATACTCATGTTGTTTGGCCATCTAAGCTGAAGAAGAAACAAAAAGCAAACAGCGGTGATAAACAAAAATGCGTTTATATTTCCTTATATGTTTATCACAGCAGTTTGTTTGAGAAACGTGAAAAATAACGCCTGTTCTGCAGGGCAGCAAAACTGCTCCTTTGAACTATACGCCGGTTAAACCTTAAGCCCCAATATCAACATAAAAATTCCTCATACTGATCTCCTTACATTTCCTTGAAAAACAAGTTGAGAGAATATGATTTAAGATCAAAGCATCTTCACTTAAGTGATGACTTTATTAATTCTCATAACCCGGTCTCTTGATAATGTACAAATATTGTTAGGAGATAATTGATGTTGGTCACCCGTGGGACATAAAGGGTTAAACCTTAAGCCTGATTTCCATATAATAATCTGGATTGTTTCAGTCGCCTTTATTTTCTACTCGGGACGTTGTAAACCAACGTATGTCAACCAGCCTATCTACAGAGCTTGGCTCTATCCAGACGAGTTAATGCCTGCAACAAGCAACAAGGACGGCGACGGCGATGGCTACGAAAACGTCTAACAGTCTGTTCATTTCCAAGGTCCACTATTATGGACGGGAGCTCCACCCTAAGGTTTGCCTCAATGTATTAAAGAAGAACAACGAGTTCTGTTCCACTTAAACTAGGAGGAACAGGAAGCAGCCTTGTATGTGTGCAGAAAAATAAAAGGCAATTCAAGCAGCGACGTTTTTGAGCGACGCACGTCAACCGGAAGTGTACTTTTTGCACTCTTGAGCCGTGATTTTGAACACATAAGAGAAAAGGCACATAGAAAAAAAAATTCACTTCCGGTTGACATGTGTCGCTCAAAACGTAGCTGCTTAAACTCCCTAAAGACGGTGACAGTGGGTAAGCACCTCCCGGCCCCTTTCATCACACCCCCGCCCCCCTTCTTTCCTCTCTACCCAAAGAAATAGGCAGCTTAAGCAACAACGACAACAACGACTACGAAAAAGTCACCTGAAAAGTGAATTCGCGTTGCCTCAAATTTTATCGCGCTTATAGCATCTCGTTTAACTCGTCAAATGTTGGCAAATTTTTTGTAGTTGAATTCTAAAGGACTGTATCAAAGTACAGGAAAAGAAAGTCGCATGTTCTCGTCCTCGACAAAACGTGAAATTAGGCACCTTCACGTTGTAGTCGTGCAACGACGGCGAAGAAATGCACAAAAAAGCGTATTGTTTTGCCAATCTAAGGGTCTGTTTACATGGCGGTGGGGGACTCCAGATAGGTGAGGTAACATGCAGCGGGTCACCCCACCTATCATGAAACGTGATCAAATTAAAATGGGAGATTATATGGAGAGGTGGGTTACCCGACCTAAGCGGGTTACCTCCCCTACCTGGGGTCCCCCACCTCCATGTAAACAGGCTCTAAACCTATTGCTTTTTTCCCGTCCTCGTTGCCGTCGCCGTCGCCGTCACCGTTGCTTAAGCTCGCTAATATCTCTAATCATCACCAACCTCGCATGATTTGTAATGTTCAAATAAGGACAGAAACCCGATCTCACTTTGTTTATCTATCCCTTTGAAGACATTCTAAAAAATAAAAAAAATAAAAAAAAAAATCAGTAAATGTTAGCATTTATAGGGAAGCAAAAAACCTTACTATAAGACGTTCACGTCGAAAGATTAAACAGAATGTTTAAAGAAACTAAGAGGCATCAGCAGTTGCAGAGAATAAGGGGAATTCCTTCAGATATTCTCGAGATGATGGGGTTGTATCACACTGAATCGTTGTAATTCCGTTTTACATATTACTGAAAATAATCTTTAATAGGTTCGTGATACAGTGAAACCCCGTACATACGGACTCTAAGGGGGGTATAGAAAGTGTTCGTATTAACGAGGTGTTTGTATTAAGAGGGTTGAATTAAGAAAAATCTCAGGGCTTTCATTCTCCAGGGACAAGGAAAACTGTCACATGTGAAAATCGTCTTAGGTTTGTGATACAGTGAAACCCCGTACATACGGACTCTAAGGGGGCCATAGAAAGTGTCCGTATTAACGGGGTGTTCGTATTACACGGGTTGAATTAAGAGAAAAAGTAAGGGCTTTTTTTCTCCGATGACAAGGAAAATTTTCACATATCAGTAAAAGTCGCTTTAGGTGCGTGATACAGCCAAACCGCGTGAATACAGACACTAAGGGAGCCATAGAAAGTGTCCCGAATTAGCGAGGTGTCCGTAAAACGGAGGTGACTGTACACGAATCATTAACAACCATGGTGGTGGGGTACAAACAGTCTCACTCAGGAAATCAACTTTATCGCCTGACGAGGACCTAAGTAAGTAGCGATCAGTAGTGACAATCTTGGGACAAACGATAAACGGAACCCTTTAAACACATTAACCACGATGAAAAATATCCTTCATGACATCGTCTTAAATACTACACCTTTTTCGAACCCCCTGTATCAACTTCCATGATGTTATCGAATGTGTTTGAGACAGCCTTTCCAGTTATTAACAAGTTCACCAGTTCCTGTAAAGGACAATACATGTAATAAGAACGAGAATGAGACTTTTTCTGCAATTAATGAAAAGGAAGCTCAAACTGGACGAAATTTCAGCTATAAAGAAAGAACGAAAGAAAGACGGAAACAGACAACCAAACAAAGTAACAAACACTTGTATGATACATCAAGGGACTAAGGGAACACCTTACCACCGCACCTGGGAAAACTGCGCTAAGAATGGTGTTAGCAGACATACAAAAAAATTATAATATTGAACATTCTATTAAAATAAATAGGCACGCGAAGGCATAACCTACAAAGACTATCCATTCCATTTAAGATTAACGTCGGGGAAATCATCATTATCATCATCCTCGTCGTCGTCGTCAGATTGATACCCGTAAATGAAAAATATTGTAGTATACAGGTACTGCATTGAAAATCTAACCTGCGTGCAGTAGCCGTGAGCACCCATCAGCCTGCCTTGAGGTTCATCCATATCAGATATCACTCTTAAACAACAACAACAAGAAAAGTTTAAGGCCACTAAATACTTGATAAAAATCACCAGAAGCTCCCTTACATTAAACTTGCAATATAATACTAGCAGATTATTTTTCTCGAAATTATAACACAAAGGCTTACTCTCGATTTCTACTGACATAGATACTTCTTTGCCCCTAGTCAACTATTTGCCGTTAAACTCATCGCCAATAGATGAACTTGAGAACTGGTGCCTTAATGGTTGGACGGGAGCCTGAGCGCCTCAGACATAGCAAGGAGGTATCCATGGCAACCCTGCAAGCGGGAACCACCCCTGCATGCAGCCGCCAACTGGCACCGTCACACTGAAGGAAATTCAGTGGAAAATATTCACCTGACCCCATACTTACCAACGGACAAACCCAAAAAGGGGAGGGAGGGGGTGGGAGCCAGAATCCGCAAAGATTGGAATAAAACACCTGATCCGCAAAGATCAGCTCAAAATGCCAGCATGAGATGCAACGTAAGTCACAAGATAAGCAATGTACCGTGCATATGCACTTACTGGAAGGCGGGGATTTAACAGCTGGGAGGTTCTTTGATTCTATTTCCTTTTGTGTCCTAAGAAAGTGGGCAGGGGTCATACTCATAACAGCCGGGGGAAATGCCTGGCCCCCGGCACTAAATGACAATCCTTATCAGGAGTTATAGACGAAGAACAACCATGTGGATACGCTACATCTAAATCATACATTGTTATTTATTCATTTAAGAGTGACCAACATCAACTTTCTCCTCACGATATCAATGCAAAATCAAGACTAAAGGTTATGAGAATTAAGGAAATGATCATTGAAAGGAAAATGCTTTGATTTTTTTAATCACATTCTCTCAACTAATTCTTTGAGGAAATATCTAGTATTAGTTTGAAGAATTTGTATGTGAATATTAGGGCTTAAAGGGTTAAATATCATTTACTAGAGCATCACTTACTTTCGTATTGACCTGGACAATATCATAGAATACAACAGTAAAATACATCCACTGCTACTATCAGACTCAAACTGAAAATGGAAAAAAGCGGATTTATTTCTAAAAGAAATTCAGTAATACGGAAACTACATAATTCAGGATTAAGTTTGGCTATTATAGTACAAGCTGTTAATATGCCTGTCATAAAATCTCTAGTAAAGCCATTTTAATTTTAGACCGGCAAGCACCAGACGTTGAAGACGAACTAAAGGGTCCCCCGGGGGGAACTCCCATATGAAAGGGGCGTGGATGCACGTCGTCACGCTTAGGGGTGTAATTTTTGGTCTCATTTACGTTGTTCTGGGCAAAACGCCATTATATTTAGCCGTAAAGGTCTCTTTTAGGGTTGCACGCGAAGAAATATAAAAAATACATATTTTTTCAATTTGTTTGATTTTCTCGATTCATGTAATCAAAGTTTTTTAGGGGTCTAAAAAGGTTGGGCCACGCCCAGATTGGTCTCCTTTAGGGGTTTAATTCAAAAGTTCCGACCATCATCCTCGCCCCTTTCATATGGGAGTCCCCCCCCGGGATGGGCCCTCAGTAGGCTTTTTGGGATCCGAGATTCCGCTTATTTGACGGTCGGGATCCGGGATTTTAGAGGGAAACGAAATGGAGATTCAGCGTGAAATTATGAAAGTGATACGGGAATTGGACAACGAAAATTCGGCAAACCAGTTGCACTGAAAAACGATACATCACTTAATTTGGAGACGCGCTCTAAACACCTTTCATTTAGACTGACGATATCGACGTTTTGTCATTCGGTCGACTGTAAACAAAGGCTGTATTCAGTCCAAGAGCAAATCTGTCCATTGAAAGGCATGTTTAGGATTACGGTCGGAATAACTGGATTGAAAAAGCCTAATGAGGGCCTTCCGTGATGTCACGTTGGCAATGTTAGTGTAAGTGAACCACAAGCAGCAAGCAAACTCCTCTAGAGAGAGGAGAAGTGTGACGTCACGTTACCATGGTGGCAGAATCATGATCTGGATCTTAACAATCTTTCTTGATAAGGACGGCCATTTGCATTGTCGAACGATGGAAGAAAAGTATGGGCTACTGTTTTGTTCCTGAGTGCAATCATGCACAGGAAAGGAATTCATGTTAACTTTTTCGTTTTTTTTTTTGTGCCATGGGCCACGGTTTGTTCAGGTCCAGACATTTTGCTACCATGGCAACGTGACGTAACGACTTCTCCTCTTCATTGAGGCGGTTCTGATTTGCTCCATTGAGAATAAAGGGGCATATTACAGACCGCTAACTTTCGGCCCTTGTTTCCAAGCAATAAGCATTTATCGGACAAGGTTAAGCACGTGGAAAAATCGCGATATGTCATTGGTGGGCAGATCAAGTATCACTTTTGCTGTTAAGTAAACCGACTTCAGTAACCGTTTCACCAATCATTTACGCTTAATAAAATAATCCTTTAAAAAAAAAAAACATTACAAAACAGATACAATGGTTAAAAGGTAAGCAACGGTACCTTGTGAAAAGGAGAAATAAAAACCACCTTATCCAGACTTTTTCAATAATTGCTTATTGTAAAAACATACAACAGGTAAGAATAGAGTAACCTAGTAAGAATGATACGTACCTGCGATATATTTTGCGAGATAAAACTAAGAAGACTTTCAGAAGACTTGAAGGTGTATAACACCAGCTGTGGTTTACACAACAAAGTGAGTGAGCAGATGTGATTAACTCACAATTACAAAACTGCAAGTAGAGTACAACAGCAAAAAGAGCCTCATCTTGATGTAAGAAAACAAACAAGGCCCATTTTTATCAATCGTGCAGGGCTGCAAATAATAGTTGGTCATCGAACAAAGTCCAACTAAAATTGGCCCACGTTCGGCGAAATCTTAACTGCGTTTGGACATCAGTTGGACATATCCTTGTCAAATTTAATAACAAAGAGTCAATCGCTTTCATTGCAGGGCCCAAGTGTTCGAAGGCTGATTAGACGGCAAACTCAGGGTTAAATTTTTATCTGGGTTTCTTTTTCTTTTTTCATAAAGCATTTTCTCAGAAACATTTTTTCTATTCTTTTTTGAGTATGCAATCATCAGTGTGTAGACAAAAAGAATTTAACTGAGTTTTCTATTTTTGTTAGCTTTCAAACCTGAATTCAGACTTCACTCTTTCCTTTTGTCATCTTAACCCAGGTTTCAACAGCTAAAATCTACCCTGAGCAAATGTGTAGGAACAAAATACCATTACTGCATTATGGCATCAATTACAGTAACAACAGTCTTCCTGCAAATCTCACATCCACCATGAACAATATTCGTTAAAGAGGTTTAATGCGAACACTATTGCAGAGACCGATCTCTTTCAGTAAAGCCAAACATGTATTACGAAGTCACCCTTGACGAAGAGGAAAGTGACTTCTCAATACAAGTGCAACACTGTTTACAGTGCAGGCACCCTATTTTCCCGTACGATTGTCAAGATCGAGCCATTTTGGCGTGAAATGTCCCATCTTGATTTAAAACGTTCTGTCAGGGGGCAGGCGTGAGATATGTCCAGAAATGCACGCATTGGCGAAAATGGCAGAAATGGCAATTAATCGCCAAAATCGCCAAACTATAAACAAAAATTCAAATGAGATGGCAAAGGGGCCCTTTGGAAAGTGGCGATTTCGGCGAAAATGGCGTATTTGGCGAAAATGGCAGAAATGGCGCTTAATCGCCAAAATCGCCAAACTGTAAACAGAAATTCAAATGAGATGGCAAAGGGGTCCTTTGGAAAGTGGCGATTTCGGCGAAAATGGCGTATTTGGCGAAAATGGCAGAAATGGCAATTAATCGCCAAAATCGCCAAACTATAAACAAAAATTCAAATGAGATGGCAAAGGGGCCCTTTGCAAAGTGGCGATTTCGGCGAAAATGGCGTATTTGGCGAAAATGGCAGAAATGGCAATTAATCGCCAAAATCGCCAAACTATAAACAAAAATTCAAATGAGATGGCAAAGGGGCCCTTTGCAAAGTGGCGATTTCGGCGAAAATGGCGTATTTGGCGAAAATGGCAGAAATGGCGCTTAATCGCCAAAATCGCCAAACTGTAAACAGAAATTCAAATGAGATGGCAAAGGGGTCCTTTGGAAAGTGGCGATTTCGGCGAAAATGGCGTATTTGGCGAAAATGGCAGAAATGGCAATTAATCGCCAAAATCGCCAAACTATAAACAAAAATTCAAATGAGATGGCAAAGGGGCCCTTTGCAAAGTGGCGATTTCGGCGAAAATGGCGTATTTGGCGAAAATGGCAGAAATGGCGCTTAATCGCCAAAATCGCCAAACTGTAAACAAAAATTCAAATGAGATGGCAAAGGGGCCCTTTGGAAAGTGGCGATTTCGGCGAAAATGGCGTATTTGGCGAAAATGGCAGAAATGGCAATTAATCACCAAATCGCCAAACTGTCAACAAAAATTCAAATGAGATGGCAAAGGGGCCCTTTGGAAAGTGGCGATTTCAGCGAAAATGGCGTATTTGGCGAAAATGGCAGAAATGGCAATTAATCGCCAAAATCGCCAAACTGTAAACAAAAATTCAAATGAGATGGCAAAGGGGCCCTTTGGAAAGTGGCGATTTCGGCGAAAATGGCGTATTTGGCGAAAATGGCAGAAATGGCGCTTAATCGCCAAAATCGCCAAACTGTAAACAAAAATTCAAATGAGATGGCAAAGGGGCCCTTTGGAAAGTGAGGATTTTGGCGAAAATGGCGTGCACTAATTCTGTATCTTTTCATCAACCACAAATAAAAAAAAAATATAGAGTGCATGTTGGCCTCGTTGTTAAAACGTGTTTTGGCAGAAATGGCAATTACTCGATGAAATACCTAATTTGTCAAGACAAATAATTATTGAAATGACATAGCAAAGGGTCCCTTTTGAAATGGCTATTAATTGCCAAATAGTTAACCACATATTAATATAAAAATGTTTCCAATAGTATAATTGTATACTAATAATGACACTAAGTGTCATTAATCTGTTTTTAATGCTTTTACCTTTAATTGATAACCTCTTGTGATTTGAAATTCGTCCCACACAAGAGTGTTCGGTGGGGAATTACCACTTATAACTAATTTCTTGCTCAATTCAAATCGAATGGCCAACGAGTTGTATTCAATTATCAGTAAATGGTAATCTTCGTAATGTTCATGGCAACTTTCTTACCAAAAAATCCAAGATAGGTATCCTTAATTTTCCAGGCTTGTAGGCATTGTTTGAATAGCGACAGTTCAACATTATATGTTATGAGGAATCCAGGTTGGTTCTTGGCTACGCATTCAGATAATTAGATGGTCCGTATTGCCTTGTATATCCATCCTGTTTGTTATAATGGCGTTCAATCGTACAAGTATATATAAACGAGCTGGTTCATTGCAGTTTCACAGAACATGAACGTATAAGGTTTAGTAGTTGTTATACAGACGCGGCGACCATGTTGAAATAGTCGATTTTGGATAACTACTCTATGTAAGTAGAAACGATTAGTGTCATTCCCAGCCGACTTTGTTGGTCACTCTATGTTTATAGCTCCTCTATGTAAGCAAAACGATTAATGTCGTTCACAGGGACTCTCAGGCAATTGTTAAAATAGAAGGTAAAAAGGCCGGGTGACGTGTTTCGACGAGCATTAGCATTAGCAATTTAATGGAAACATATTGTACTGAGAATTGGTTTGGTGGTCTCAGCGCAAAAAAACAATACATTTTCTAAATTTCTGGCCCCACCTCATAAAGCAATAATGGGACACATTTTTGAAGAACGAGACAAACATGTACACTCTCTTTTTATATATCTAGGTGATGAAAAGATACAGAATTAGTTTGAATGGGATATGTTTTATGAAAGAGACAAACAAGTTATTGCTTTGATCCAATGTTTATGTTCAATAAATGCGGTGAAGTATTGGGCACAAGTGACATTTCGTGCAGGTTTACATAAAGTGGAAATAAGCGAAATCACACATTTCAAAATGGCGCACGCAAGGTGCTGGACATTTCGGCTTTCGTTACTTTTAGGGGACCGTTTCTCTAAAGAGCAAAGCAAGTAAGTGCGAGAAGAAAGTGAAGAGTTTAAAACGACGGAAGAAGATAATGTGTATAGTGGAGAACCAAAAAAGAATGAAGGGCACACACTAGCTGGTTATCGTGAAAGCATCTTTTAGCCAGGAACCATGCGTTGCGCAATCGCTTTTGATTTAAGGCTGCCTCACAATTTAATGGAACCAATGTGAAGAGAATTGTAACCAGTGAGGATTGTTAAGGTCTACATCGAACCTCAAAAGTTAGAGTGTCCATGGCAAGGAATTATTATGATTTCAAGGACTTGGTAGTTCTCTCCTCGAGTAATTAGTGGACTTGTAAGTCTTTGAAAGGAATGAACCATACAAAAGCAAATGATGCTAGTGTGATATTTCAGCGCATCAAATCACTTTTGGTAAGTCAAGCGACATCGAAAGTAAGGAAATGTTTACTTAACCTGTGAAGTACATGGCACAAATACATATTAGCTTAACTGAAACGACTTGCATTTGTTGTTTTCAGATATATTTGATTCAGTTGTATTTGAAAAAATAATGTTGTTTGACAGTTAGGTAAAGCTGTTTTGTCATATATTTGATTCAGTTGTATTTGATAAATGTTGCCTCACAGTTATTGGGGCCTCTTATTAGGCAAGTAATTTGAACTTTTTTTTAGTACTGTTGCCTCGCAGTTATAAGGACCTCTTTAGTTATCTTCTTTGAAGGGGCCACTTTTGGCATCCAATTTGAATATTTTGCCACATATCGCCAGCCCTCTAGCGATTTTTGCCAAAATTGCCAATTTCGCCAAAATCGCCATTTTCGCCAAAATCGCCAGCCTCCAAGGGGCCACTTTTGGCATCCAATTCAAATCGCCAGAGGCTGGTGATTTTTTGCCAGTTTCACCATTTTCGCCATTGCATGCATGGCGATTTTTGCCAAAATTGCCAATTTCGCCAAAATCGCCATTTTCGCCAAAATCGCCAGCCTCCAAGGGGCCACTTTTGGCATCAATTCAAATCGCCAGAGGCTGGTGATTTTCGCCAGTTTCACCATTTTCGCCATTGCATGCATGGCGATTTTTATAAAATTGCCAATTTCGCCAAAATCGCCAGCCTCAAGGGGCCACTTTTGGCATCAATTCAAATTGCCAGAGGCTGGTGATTTTTCGCCATTTTCGCCATTGCATGCATGGCAATTTTTGCCAAAATCGCCAATTTCGCCAAAATCGCCATTTTTGCCAAAATCGCCAGCCTCCAAGGGGCCACTTTTGGCATCCAATTCAAATCGCCAGCGGCTGGTGATTTTTCGCCAGTTTCGCCATTTTCGCCATTGCGTGCATTTCTGGACATAAGTGGCAGGCGTCGGGTGATCTTGTGGGAAATTGCAATACTTACCGCTTCTGTTAACTGGTCCGGCTTGTATCGCCCAGCACCAAAAACATTAGAACCACCAGTAGGTCTGAAATAAATTGTGAAAATTAACTAAATGGGATGTAACTTCGAGTGTTGCCGAAATTATTGTAGCTACTGAGTTGAGGTGTCTTTTCGAAATTTCGTGTTACTTGATTTGTTGATTGCTCCATCCGCAAAGATGTTGCGCGATTTTTGTTTCAAGCGACGTTATTCTTCTGGCGAGAGAAATGAATCAGAGGATGTGAAGTGACTTAATTTTGAGTTGTAAGAGCAAAACTAACAACCCCATAAAAAGCAAAAAGAAAGGCCATGTCTTGCTTTTTGTTGTTGATTTGTTTTGTTTGATGTTTTATTTTGGTTTTGTTTTCTATTACAATGGTCTCAATGGATGTGATTCGAGGAGCTTAAGCGATCACAACGGCGACGACAGCGAAAACAACTTTGATCGCATCGACGTTCAAAAAAAAGGAGGAAAAATTCTACGTCTTGGGGTCATCAACTTCATAGTTCGCCACATTCAGCAAAAAACAAATTTTACGCAGACAACGGTAAATAAACATACCAAAAGGCTTGGCTTTTGGTGTTTGTCGCGTTGCCGTCGCCGTTCTTCGTTCTTCCGTCACTGTTCTTCAGGGAGCCTGCTGTGTACCAGGATTGAGTACGCGCCGTGATTGGTCCGGGTTGAAGGGAAATGCAAACGTCCTTCCGATAACTGATTCAAAGGTCCGTTTGGGGCGTCGAACAAGAACCTCGGAGCTACTTCGCAGACATTACTAACTGCGATAAGATCACGTCTGCGACGCAGGCTACCATTAGGGACTTTAAGATCCAACGACGTGACGGCAACAAGAACGTCGCTTAAAAAGTGAATTTGCGTTCTTTCAGTCTTTATCGCAATCATTACCCACTTACTCTGTCGAATGTAGGCGAACCCTCCTGGAGTTGAATTCCTGGGGACCATAACCATGTTCAGAAAAAGATAAAATTTCGTCTGCTTGTTCAAAGTTGTTGTTTGCTCATAAAACCTATTGTTTTTTCTACTTTTTGCGTTGCCGCCCGCGTCTTTGGATCTTAAAGTCCCTATTATGGCTGACCCAGAAGCCTACCGGCACTGGCAGTCTAGACATGTGACTCGGCTGAGGCCACCTTGAGCAGAGTGAAATGCCCGATGACAATCACTCGACAACGACACATCACTCAGGACAGCGCCTCGTGTTTCAAACTCGGCAAAACACTCCCGCTCGTTTTTTAAATAATGCATAAACAAAATTCCAGAGTAACTTACAAGGTTACTACTGCACCTCTGCAGTCACCAGCCCTCCATAATATTTCACTAATTGCTGATGTAAGACCTTTGGTTCTTTCTCGTTTGCTTATAATCAGCGCGACATTTTGGAGCTCTTACATTGAAATTCTCACCTGAAACCATTACGACCCAAAAGATGGCCAATTTGCAAAATATTGTCACGCGCCTCTGTATCATTGTTCTCAGCTAGTCTTATGGTGCTTATGATAAAGCGATATTTTGGAGCTCTTGAAAGATAGTGACTATAACTAGTAATAGCCAAAGGTTACGGAGTGCGGGCGATAACGATCGACGGTTTTGCTCCAACCCTGTGCTTTGCGTACGTTTGACGTGACAGATGATCAAAACACGCGTGGTGAGATTACGAGTGATAGAAGGTCCAAACGCACGTGTTCAAATTGTGTTCTGTGCATTCCATTCATTCTTAGTGGAAGTCCAAACGAAAGCTAACTATATACATGCGATGCGTGCGTAATAGCAACCTCGACATTAGGATTGCGGGCTCCTCTTGTCGTCCGCAACAACAAAAAACACTCTTGTAAGAACGCAGTAAAGCAGTACTGAGCACATATTTTCTTTGGTTAATAGTTCTAAGTGACAATGGCCTTTTTTTAATGGCCAGTTCCGTTTATCTAATAGTAAATACTTTTCTAGCCAAACTGCTACATGTAAAATTCAGTTTGACAGTGACGTGAGAGCCATGGAGATTAAATTAAATGGCAGAGGTTGGTTTCCGCAGGTCACGTGATTTTTACACTCCTTACCTCTTATTGGCCATAATTTGTTGTTGGTATATTACCACTTTGAGTATAAAGGTAACTTTTACAAATACGGCCTTTATTACACTTGGGTCCAAATGTTATTACAGATAGGACCTTTATTACACTTGGGTCCAATTATCACACTTGTGCCTTCTACACGTATCTCGAGTGAGGTAAGCTCAGCAAATGCCTGGTACGAGATCAGTAGAATGATAGCAAATCCCAGCAAACACCAAGGGATGATACTAGGAAAAACTGACCATCAGTTTAATTTCTCAGTAAATGACTCGTGGAACTTTTCGGCGTTACAATTGATAAAGATCTTACGTTTAAGCAACATGTGTCCTCTATATGTAAAAAGATAAACAATCAGTTTGGCGTTATGACAAGGTTTGGCAAACTGATGTCTACTGAAACCATGCTCAGTCTTTATAAGGCATTTATACTTCCTCACTTTTATTATTGTTCTATGGTGTGGCATTTCTCTAGTAAACAAGATTCTGATAAACTGGACCTTTTAAACAAACGTATTCTTCGATTTATTTTCAAGGATTTTAACTCTGAGTACAATAATTTACTTAAAAAGGCAGGAACTGCAAACCTTAAGGACAAGCGTTTACAAAACACGATTCTTACTATTTTTAAATGTCTTCATTTTTCTGATTATCCAAGATATTTAAAAGATATGTTTCGTTTACGCTCTAGCACCTTTTTTTAAGAGGACATAATATGCTCTGTTTGCCCAAACCATTGACCACTTCTTATGGTATCAATTCCTTTAGTTACTTGGCAGCAACATCTTGGAATTCTCTTCCTGACCATTACCGCACTATTTCTGATTTTACTTCTTTTCGACGACTGATATCTACTGGGAACAATAATTTCAGACTTAAAAGGGCCGGAACTGCAAACCTTTCTAAATCATGATAATTTGCAAGTTAGTTGTCTAAGTAGTTAGTTATCTTATTTGTTATATAGAATTAACTTTTTATTATAATTATTTATTAATATAGTTGGCTCGAAGATATTAGCACTTGAGTGCTACACTGTAAATTCGAGGGTAAATAAAGTTTATTGATCGATTGATTGATTGATTGATTGATTGATCACATAATCTTCATGATGTGGTAAAAACGTCTGAAACTTTCATTAAGATTAATTCACTGCAACACCTTGATATTTCAAGAGAAACCTAGCCTACGAAATCGGCCAAAAATGCGCGTTACAAAATTCACTGTTTTTACGTTATGTTAATTTTTCCAAATTGATGCCCATCATGCATACATTGTACCTCCATGGCTAGCACATTTCAGTATGAATTTTATTGCATATTTTAAATGTAAAATATTGACAGTATTCAGACTGAAATGTACATAGCCTGGTGGCAACTTAAACGGTGTATTTTCCATTTCTTAATCAGGTGCCATGAAAGCCGGTGGACATTTTGAACGGAAGGGGTGAATCTGTGAACAAACTGCCTGGTGACAGAAGAAGACTGTTGGTAGAGTTAAAGGTCATTTGGCATGGTAAGAGATAAATGCTTTATATTGTAAGGAGAAGTACATGATTTGTGGCAGGCTCGTAGTATGCATTGCTGGGTTCTCGTAGCAATAAGCTTTCCTCTTTTTTAATTAGGTAAGCATTGACTCATAAAACTGCAAAAAAATTAGGTTACCATTTGAACAAAATACCTCTCTCAAGAGTTAAGAAACTTGTTTATGCACTTGTTAGTCTTAATTGTTTGTTATTTCTTTTGTTTCTAATGTTACTATTACTGTTTTTTTTAATACCATTATTAGAGAAACCTCTTTAGATTTGAGGACGACATTTGATTTTTAGTTTTCTCGCCTTTTCTCTAAAAATAGACACGCCGGAAAGCTTCATTGTACTTTTTTCACCACAAAAGTTAGTTCGCTTATTCCCGTTGAAGGAGGTTACGCCCTCTCCTGATCGCTAAATCATAAAATTCCTAACATTTGATAACCTGTTTTCGCCATTACGACATTCTCGGTAAAACTAGTAGTAGAAGCCTTAAGATCCGACGACGGCGACGGCAGAGAAAACGTCGCTGAAATAGTCAATTCGCTTTCTTTCAACCTTCATCGCGATTACTCCAAGTGATTAACTTTGTCAAATGTAGGTGAACCCTTCTAAAGTTGAATGCCTAAGAACAATATTCATATTCAGAAAGAAGGAGGAAATTTCGTGGTCGCTTGTGAACCTCCTCTGTACAACGTGAAATTAGGCATTTTCACGTCGTAGTCTCTCTACTTCTTTCTAGTAATAGGCCAATGGCTATGTACCCCTGGATGGGGTCGCATTTCCACGACTGGGTTGACTATAATTGGGAATAATGGCTTTGCATTTTCAGAAGAGTTACTAGAATTTGGTCACAGGTTTTCGGGTTTTTAGGGAAAAAATCATTATAAGAAGGGGCTTAAAAATGGGAAGTTGGGATTGTGCAGAAAATTATCTTTGCCCAAAAGTGACTAAGATGGAGTCTATAACTGGCCACAGAATAGCCTATAGTTGTGAAGGGGTTCTAAGAGGCCAGTAACACATAATAAGCAAAATATTATCCAAGTACCCCTAGCAATATGTCACTAGAGGATGGTAACAAGGTTTACCTAGTCTAGAATAGCAAATATAGAATACTTTGTTTTATTGGTTAAGATTCCACTGAATTTGCTGGATGAGTTTAACAACCCTTCAAAGTTATCAGAGGAAAAAGCACAGCAACAGGTGCAAGTCCAGGACAAAGCGGGAAACCTAACAGTTCAACCAAGGCTTAATGTTGTCTGCAAGGTAACTATGCTAGTGTTCAGCCCGATGTGATTTAACTAACTGTGGAGTAATTGCTCCTTATTCATAACATTGGAACTTCAATTTTAAAGTGCTGGTTCCACAACTCACCACAACTTTGTTAAGGAGTCATAAGGCGTTGAGTATACTCTGTTCAAGCAAATTGACGATTGTTAGACGTTCATTGCAACTACATATTTTAAAATCCCTGATAGTTCTAAGCTTTTGAGAATGCTCAAAGCACCTCAGTTTTGAACTTTTAATGTCATTTCTATGGTCGATATTTGTACCGACCATGAAAAATTGTCGATTTTTTTTTCAGTAACACCGACGGCCATCTCTGATGATGTTTCTTGGGAAATTATATTTATTTATTTACTATTAATATATAGATTTAGCCAGGGCTAAAAGCGAAGCTCCAATTAATAAATTTATAATTTAAATCAAAAAATAAACTTTTAATCCACAAATCATTTAACTTAAGGGCACATTCATGTGACTTTTAAGGGAAAGGCTAAGTTATTTTAGAGTGAAACATCTTACATCGAATTGATAACCTTATATGTACACCCAAAAAAAACATCTTCGATCACATTCAAGATCACAGTAGATTAGGCCTCGAAAACAAATTCTTGAAAACAAATCACGCCGAATTTTTTTGCGTGCGACAGGTTTACTCGACAAATTCTTGCCAACAAATCTGGGGCTGTTTAAACCAACCTTTTATAATTTTTATACATCACATTTGAGGTGAAACAGTACTATTTATCATACAGACCTCGGACAGAATGCAGTATTTCACAATTTTTCAAGACAAATTGCACTCAGTCAATATTCAGGACGATCAATTGTAAAGCGAAACCGTTCAAAAATTTCCAAAATCACCCATATGGCCAGCCGGTTCTCGTTTCTATAGTGCGAGCTGTCAGTGTGGTCGAGTGTTTGAATGAACTTTAATAGAGTTAAGCTTCAACATAATAGCGAATTTATTATTATTTTTTTTGTTATTTAATGTTTTCAGTTATAACGATGTGTAATCTTATAAAGCGTTTGATACGCGCGACATTTTTGAGTACTCCTGCAAGCGATGTTCATGAACAATGAAAACAAACGGCACAGACTAGCGATTAAAATTGCAAGAAAGACTACTAACAATCAAAAAAAGAAATATAATTCGGTGAAACATTTACAGAGATAACAATTTTCATTCATGAAGACAAGTATTAAAGTGTCTCTAAAAATCCTGAGTCTCGGCGTGAAGCTTTATAAGCCGGCTTCCCGGCGCGGGTGTTTACTGTTTTCCAAGGTGAACTCCTCCAAGCAAGAAAATCGCTCAAAGTTTTCTTTCTACAGCCAAATTTATAACTAAATATAAAACGTTTTCTTTCTATCTGTGGTGAGCAAATATATCTGAAGGCTTTTTAAAGTTCAGAAAGCTTATATCAAACCGTTCAAACCTGATACTAGGTCAGATCATTGACTCAAACTACGGCTACAAACGTTCATAAACTTGCCGCATAAACTGTCAGCGTGAATGTGCAAGACTTCATGAAATTAGATATAACAAAAACAAACATCCAATACAATAGTTACTCAGGCTTACCATTCGAGATTCAGTTCCTGAAAGCTATCAAGGAAGGCCACAGTTGCTTGAGACTTTTAACCCCTCAAACGCATTAAGCAATGTGAAAAACGAAAACGATGCCATCCGAAATCGAATTACCAAATTTTGACAAGCGACACGTTCCTCAACCAAAAACCCAGTAAACAAACCAGCCATGAATAACAGAAGACTCTTGATAGCAGCTGTATTTCATTTTGTACATCCAGAACAAAAAGACAGTTAAAAACATCACACGCTCACACAAAACTCTTCAGCTTCAGCTGTCAAAGTAAACAATTTTCAAGATGCTGCATAATTTTTTCGCATGAACTCACCAATCAAATTTTGACCAATCAGAGTATAAAAATTGGACGTAGAGCGTGACCAACGCGTGACCATGGTAAGATAAGGTCTTCCCCGCCTGTACTTTTTAAAAAAACTGGCTGAATTTTCATTTCCGAAGTCAGTTTGAAATCAAAATTCTAATAGTGCGGGCATAGTGACATAAACACAACATATTTGATATGAATCCTTGGAGAAAATAAACTTGAGCCTGCGATCATTCCAAACTGGTAATTTGTCAGCGGATAACTTCAAAAAATACTCGACCTCGATGGGTCGACACTTGAGCTCGCGCTACAGTCAGGTGATACTGGTCAGCGGATGCCCTGTTTTGACAGCTGTCAATTGATCACAACATTGATGTGAAATTGGTTTTCTCTTGGGCTCCCAAACTAGCTAAAATGTGAGAGTAAACATTGGTTGTCCTGTGGTGCGGACGGACGGTCGGTCGGCGGTCGGCGGTCGGCGGTCGGTGTACGGTCACGTGATTACCAAATTTTCTGGGATGGGTAGATTTACTTAGCAATGGTGCTCCGCCCACGCGCGCGCTTCGCGCGCGCGTGGAGCTCCGCTATTATTTTTTTAACAAAGAGGTACATTGATGGCGGCCGCCATCTTAAAAGCAATGTCCAAGATGGAGGAGATAGTATCATCGTTCGCACTGCAAAATACACCTGCTTTGCAGTTTACAATCGGCGACAAAATTGGTGAGACATTTTCCTCAAATGGGATAACCTCGAAGAACAAAACAATACGCACTCCTCCCCCATCCCGTCCATTGAAGGTTGGGGTGTTTCTTGTTTTCAACAGGTAGCTCGAACAGCGGCACAACGTTGCATGGAGGGGGTAGGGAGGGAAAGATCTATTTCCCCCCTTTAAAGTTGGCGAGACATCAGACTAGTTTTGTGGCCGATTGTAGGGAAATCGCCCGAGAGAGAAAGAGAAAAAAAATATAACGCTATCATCACTTCATTTCCGAGTCTCATCGAGCACAGCTCTCGACCAATCAGCGTGTGAAAAGTCGCTTTGTTATTGTAAAACTTGAATTTGATAAGAAGCAACTTCATGTGTTGTAGCTGACAGGCACACCAGGCTTACCAACTTACATAGGAGACTGCAGTGCATCTGGAAAGGCCTCCCTAACAGGTGCAGATATCAGTCTGAAGCAGATCACCAAGGAAACCAAATTAAAGGCCAAGATAGAGTTACAGGTTTGTCATTTGATTAGGGAAATGAGAATGGTCCTTTCTGGGGTTTTCATGTCCTGCTTTGTTGCGATCACCCTGCGTGCAATGCCTCCTTTTGTCGTCTTGAGTGAAAAGGAAAAGAGGAGGTTCTGTCTAAATCACGTGATCCCATTGAAGTCGCTGAAGCCAGAATATCTGGACCAATCGTCAAACTGGTTTTCCAAGTGCGAGCGACCGTTTATTGATTAACCGACGGCCATACCTAAACCCACTCTACCGTGTGCACAGCTTTTAGGCTTGGGTTCAACACAGTTTATCAGCAACAATAACCTCATGTATAATAACAAGCTTACTCGAGTTGTAAGGAGTCTTTCTCAAATACGCCAAAATCGAGAAAGTAAAAGGAAGGCACTGTCAGCAGGGTGTGGTGCGTAGTCGTAACATTCTTACTGTACATCTTTAAATTGTATCTAGGCTTGGCTGACCAACACCCCGAACCTCAGCATGCTTGTTTGTCGTTTTTGTAAAAACACACAGCAGTAGCCCTGATTTAGTGACTGGTTATGATCTTTTAGCATCATAAAGAGGTTGCTGCAGTGGAGAAGACCATTATTGTGACACCCAGTAGTAAAGCAGCAGAGCTGGAAGTGTTTTACAAATTTCCTGATGCGAAACAGAAGAAGAAGCTGGACGATGGACAGGAGCTGCCTTGCACAGCAGGAAACACACTTACTGGACTGAGTATGTGATAAACCAGAAATCAGTGTACTTAATTTGATATGATTTTTTCCTCTAGTTAGCCTTAATTTGCGTAAGAAATTAGTATAGGTAAAAGCGTGATTTGTAGTGATATTTGCCATAGATACCACGAATGGTATTTCGAATTTGTTATACGTAATTTCACGAGGCGTTAGAGGAGTGAAATATGAGACTATTTTGAAATATTACAAGTGGTATTTATGCCAAATATCACGTACAAATCATACTATTATTTATTTATACGACTACCCGTAAAAGGGTTGTAATTTTCACATCTAGGTATGTCAAATTAAGCTGAAATACCACTGCTCTATGGCAATTGCACAAATTTCTCATAGAGTACAGGCTTAAAAAAGAGAAAAAAAGGTTTGAAAATTACGTGTGCACCAAAATGCCAATCCATATCATCGAGGCATGACCACATCAGCTAAACATTAGGAAGCTTATGCAACGATAAATAATACGAAACAAGCAAACAATAGGTTTTGCCTTAACTGAACTCGATAATAACGACACGTCACACTTTTTGGTGCGAACGCAAAGGTATTTCCGGTCGTCGCTTCTCTCCACCCGAACAGGAAAGACGTCTGCGTTCGCCCGCTATCCTTTGCACAACTCTAACGCAAAATTTCCCGCGAACTTAAATGGGGGCATAAACATATGAAGATACATTTTCCTCTCTTTATAACTTGGGAGTGGTCCCTTACAATGTGTCTATATGAACATTGGTCATGAGCAAGTTGCTAACACGATTAAGTTTGAAAGATCGAGCCTTCCCTGTAGTGGTGACGTCTTCGAACCCGTGGTCTTCGTGGTTACGTAAACTGCCCATTCGTCTCCTCGGAAACGAGAGGAGGACTTGAGCCCATATGTGTCCCGCAATTGTTTTGGGGATCGTTACTAGGGACACGCCCGTCAGCTATTGGCCAATTTGTTTTCCCTGTTCTCTGTAACAGTCCAGAAGTCTTTGCGAACGTCAACTTGGTCTAGTTTCCTTCTCAGTGTGTATCAGTCAATTTTCTTCTGGTGTTGGCTTAGTTCAATTTGCAGTTACATTTTATCTTCAGCCAGCTGTCAGTAGCACGGCCTGGTTTCCTCCAAAGTTGGTTAAATTTAACCCAGCGTAGCCATTTTCTGGTCATTAGGGACCTTAAGATCCGAGGACGGCGACGGTAGCTCAGATGTCGTTAAAGTTCTATCTCTTGTTGCAAGGGCAAGTTAATATTGCAAATGTAAATGTAGCGTCTTGCTGTCACCTACAGGTTTTAGAATTCTGGATGAAGGACAGAGGGAAGTAACAATAGACAACTCCCTAGCCAGCAGATTTAAGGTAGATCCAAGACAGGTCTTAGTCATTCTAAATGGAAAAGATATAAATAATTCAATTGCTCCTCTGTAAATATCCCTGCGAAATTCCTTGGGACAGTTAACTTAGCCCAGCTTTTAAAGTAGCGTATTAAATTTTATACCAATCGTCCATTTTCGGGTTGTCAAGCAAACCATCAGATCTTTATCAAAGCAAGGCTTGGTGCACAATCATCCATGCGAACACAAGTTTAATTAATCTGCGTGTCAATGAATATTATATTTTCATGAAAAAACTTTTCAATAACGAAATCCAATTAGAGTTGAGCCTGCGATCATTTGAAAACTGGAAACTTGTCAGCGGTAAACTTAAAAAAAAAACAAGACATAACCTGGATGGGTCGACACCTGAGCTGGCGATACCGTCAGGTGATACTGGTCAGCGGATACTCTGTTTTGACAGCTGTCATCTGACCACAACATGGATGTGGAATATCAGGTTGCAGGCTCCCAAACTAGCTAGAAAGTGTAACATCGCACATTGGTTGCCCTGTGGTGCGGACTAACGGGCGGGCGGACGGGTGGGCGTAAGGTCACGTGACTACCATAATTTTTCGGATGGGTAGGTAACCAAATTTTCTTAGCTATGGGGCCCTGCTATGAAATGACGAGTAACAGGTGTTTCTTTTATAAAGAGAATGAAGGCAATTGGAAAAGGCCCATTGTAGAACACGAGTAGCCACCCACAATGTGAGCACAGTCAAAGACAGAACATATCAGTAAAGGAAATTGGACAATATAGCGCAATCCACTAGGTCAACACATCAACTCAACAATCAAATGCAAGGCTCTTTAGGCAACAGAAATAACACACATCATCACATAAGCAAACTTAGTGCGCTTTCCATCTGAATTGGCCTGCCAGAACAGCCCACTGTTAATGAAAATTCCACCGTCAATCAGATCTGTCCAGCCAGAATAGTTTATTTTTAAATTCTGTGCACAGCAGTGTTGGTTTTCTGTTGAAAACTCGAAAGAAGGCCTATATCGTTTTCAACACGAACGGTCTGGCTGGCAATTCCTGACTTTTGATAAGCCCCCTTGGTATGAATTAGCAGTTGTAAACTGTTACTGTTTATCAATGTAATGACTTCTCTTCATTTGTCTCCAGGTTAACTGGACTCCAAAAGTTGCCAAAGACATCATCAAGCAAGGGATTCTTCCTGATGTGAAGGTAATTACAGGACTTCGTGAAAATAAGTTTGTCGGTGACAGGGTGGCACAGTTGGATAGTGCGCGGCCTTCGGTGCGTGAGGTCCCCGGTGACATTACATCCTTGATTCATCTTCTTTCCTTTCTTTGTAGTTTTAACTAGCTTTAAATGCCCTTAAAATGGAGCACTGATGGAGAAAGGATGGGGGGGGGGGGGGGCAGGGCTGTGCTCTAGTAGAGCCCGAGCCAGGTGGCCCCTGGCGCCTAATGTTTGCTCCCGGGCGACTAGAAAATCTCAGATTTTTCATACAAATCATATGCTGGACTAATCATATGCTACAGGTTCAGAGCACTGTGCTTCCTTCAATTTTCCTTAGAGCACAGCTGCACCAACTGACAAACAGGCAGTGCTCCATTCAGGCCAAGATTTGTGTTCTGAGGTGAAAGTATCGTCATTTGTGTGTTTATTGTAGGCACCTCTTTCTTGTGATGAACCGAAATACTGCCAAGTTAGTATGACTGGTGGAGCAGGACTGGAGTTTTCCTTCACGTTAAGGTAACAACCATTACTATGAACGTTTTTGTAAAGGAAGAGAACTTGTCAGTCTTAAGCGAAAGAGAAACAAAGGATCATTATGCGTTTCTGGGAGACCACCCACCTACCCCCCCCCCTAAGCCAACATTAATACAAGCAATAAAAGGGGGTGGTAGGCCTACACGACTTTTACCTCATGCCAAAATGCTGCTTATTCCAATGAAGTTGTTTTTATCTGCTGGGTAGATTATGCTCTGGAAGGTTCTGCATTTTACTGAGCAAATGTGGTTTTAGCCGCATGTTTCACACTGAGAGGTCATGACATATATATCGATTGACTGTAGTTATTGTTTTCTGGTCGGCATGATTTGCCCTGTGATGCAAGCGCATATTCTTTGACCTCTTTTGAAGCGTAAAGCTTTTTTTATATTACGGCTGAATAAGGGTTCCAATTTTCTCCAAAGTGCCTTCTGGATCTGATCTAAGCGATTTTCTTTAGTCCGTGAGTGTAATGTTTTTCTGCAATGCTGTATCACGCTGGGCCCAGCTCGTCAGTTTTCTTTGCAGAATGTTAAATTATCACGGATAGTGACTTACAGATCCAAAATTATAAGAGTGAAATGCAGCTTAAACTGAAGCTACATAAACTTACTATGGAGAATTGAATTGTGACTCAGTCAACTCCAGCTTAGTGTTTTTCTAAAGAAAATGTGAGGCTTTTGACTGGAGCGCGTAGTTCCTCCCTTGGTAATAGCTATGAATAAGCTTAACAGTCTTTAAACTGTTTTGTTATTGCCACAGTTTGTGATCAGGCAAGACCATGGTTTCGGTTCTCCTCACGAACCTCATCAGTTGCCGGGTTGGCTTTGTGCTTAGTTGCTTTTAGAAGAGCAACTTTAGTTGTACTTTGTCGTGGCGAGAACGGTACAGCCGTTCTGTCTGTTGAGCTTTGAACTGAACATAAATACCCACGTGGCGGATCGAAATTCTTGTTTTCTTATTGGCTACTGAACGTAACCAATTGCGGACTGTGTATTTCGATCCTCTTCTGCTTCAAGCTAGAGGTGTGTTTTTTTGGAAAGCATTTCGTGAAAATTTAGGCACTTTCTTTCGTGGAAGAGTTCGAAGACTCTTGTAAATAAATGCGCACAGAGTTTCCGTACACTCCCTCTAAAAACTGGAGTGGATACGTTTCTTGTTAGTTGCGCAATGTTGAACTTTCTACTCTGTGCTTGGTTCTTATTAGTGCCAGTGTTGATTTTCATAAGGTAAAACGGGGCCTACCCGTAAACAAATCATAGCAATAAAAGGGGGTGGTAGGCCTACACGACTTTTACCTCATGCCAAAATGCTGCTTATTCCAATGAAGTTGTTTTTATCTGCTGGGTAGATTATGCTCTGGAAGGTTCTGCATTTTACTGAGCAAATGTGGTTTTAGCCGCATGTTTCACACTGAGAGGTCATGACATATATATCGATTGACTGTAGTTATTGTTTTCTGGTCGGCATGATTTGCCCTGTGATGCAAGCGCATATTCTTTGACCTCTTTTGAAGCGTAAAGCTTTTTTTATATTACGGCTGAATAAGGGTTCCAATTTTCTCCATAGTGCCTTCTGGATCTGATCTAAGCGATTTTCTTTAGTCCGTGAGTGTAATGTTTTTCTGCAATGCTGTATCACGCTGGGCCCAGCTCGTCAGTTTTCTTTGCAGAATGTTAAATTATCACGGATAGTGACTTACAGATCCAAAATTATAAGAGTGAAATGCAGCTTAAACTGAAGCTACATAAACTTACTATGGAGAATTGAATTGTGACTCAGTCAACTCCAGCTTAGTGTTTTTCTAAAGATAGTGTGAGGCTTTTGACTGGAGCGCGTAGTTCCTCCCTTGGTAATAGCTTTGAATAAGCTTAACAGTCTTTAAACTGTTTTGTTATTGCCACAGTTTGTGATCAGGCAAGACCATGGTTTCGGTTCTCCTCACGAACCTCATCAGTTGCCGGGTTGGCTTTGTGCTTAATTTCTTTTAGAAGAGCAACTTTAGTTGTACTTTGTCGTGGCGAGAACGGTACAGCCGTTCTGTCTGTTGAGCTTTGAACTGAACATAAATACCCACGTGGCGGATCGAAATTCTTGTTTTCTTATTGGCTACTGAACGTAACCAATTGCGGACTGTGTATTTCGATCCTCTTCTGCTTCAAGCTAGAGGTGTGTTTTTTTTGGAAAGCAT